GCTAAAATCAGGCTTACAAGATTTATTTCACAGTGTGGCCTCACCAGTGCAGAGTAGAGGGGCAGGAGGATCTCTCTCAACCTACTAGCTACTCCCCTTCTAATACACCCCAGGATGCCATTGGCCTTCTTGGCCACGAGGGCACATTGCTGGCTCATGGCCATCCTGCTGCCCACCAGAACCCCCAGGTCCCTTTTTCCTACACTGCTCTCCAGCCGGTCAGTCCCCAACCTATACTGGCACATGGGGTTATTCTTTCCCAGGTGCTAAATTCTACACTTGCCCTTGTTGAACTTCATAAGATTTCTCCCCGTCCAGCCCTCTAGCCTGTCTAGGTCTCTCTGAATGGCAGCACAGCCTCCAAGTTTTGTGTCGTCAGCAAACTTTCGGACAGTGCTCTCTAATCCCTCGTCCAGGTCATTGATGAATATATTGAAAAGCACTGGCCCCAACACTGACCCCTGAGGGACCCCACTAGACACAGGCCTCCAACTAGACTCTGCCCCATTGACTACAACTCTCTGACTTCTTCCCTTCAACCAATTAGTGACCCACTTCACTACTTGGTTATCCAGACCACGCTGCCTCAGTTTAGCTGTGGGAGATGGTGTCAAACATCTTGCTGATATCCAGACAGGCCACATCCACTGCATGGCCACCATCCATCCACCTGGTTATGTCTTCATAAAAGGCTATCAGGTTGGTCAAACATGACTTCCCCTTGGCAAAGCCATGCTGACTGCTCCTAATGACTCTCTTATCCTTGATATGCCCAGAGACAGTGCCAAGGATAAGATGTTCCATCACCTTTCCAGGGATGGAGGTGAGGCTGACTGGTCTGTTGTTACCCGAGTTGTCTTTCCTGCCCTTCTTATACAGTAGAGTGACATTCACTTTCCTCCAGCCTTCAGGCACCTCACCTGTTCCCCACGACTTACCAAAGATGGTCCTTTGGAATAAAACACTGGACATAAATATTAAAAGCCAACAGTAAATATTCCAGCTCAACATTACTGTGAGCTTCACCTTTGTGCATTTCCCAAAATTCTTCTGCATCAAATCAAAAGAATAAAGGAGTCAGAAGGGCGAACTAGCATGGAGTAAGCAGGATGGAGTGACTAAGGACATGCTCCAAAGGCCACTTGAGTCAATTGTTGTGTTTACAGGAAGATTTGGTTTCTATTCTGAATTCCCCATCCAGACTCTGCACAATAGGTAAAGGGGTAATTGTAATATCAATTTGCAGAGAAGAATCTGCTCTGTGTAGTCTCATTTTAGCACATACTGAATAAAGGGGACTTACAGTAAAGCTCCATGGCAAGGAGCATGTGGTGGGCTCCTGTCCACAGCCTGTCTCTGCCACACACAGTGTCTTTCAGCTTGAATATTTCAAGGAAATGGCGAAATATGCATGTTCACATAGACCTATGCAATAAGCATTTTTACATAAACAGAAACATTACCTGTCTCTATTTTTTGGCCTCCAATATTTTCCATTATTCCCATTTGTAATGCTTTGCAACCTGGTAACAGTGCTGTTTGGTGCAGCTGAACACCAACAGCTGACTAGATCAGGACTATGCAGTATAAGATGCAAAGACTGCCTTTAGGCCTCTTAAAATTCAGTCTGTAGTATTATACTTCCTTAGCAAACATTAAAAAAAAAGTACTAATCCTTCTGCATGCATATAGATATATATGTTTAAGCATAGATATATATACACACACATATAGAGGAAGAGTGAGAGAGATAAATGTACTGTCTGATTACCTTTTAAACTAATGCCCCTTTACACCTCTTTGACACTCTAAAGAGTTCTTAAAAGGGAAGGCACATAATTTACATTCATTTTGAGGCCATCTCAGTGCTGATGAGAAGTGTAAAGGGGCCTTGGAGTAACAGAACCAGCCCAATGGTACCCACTGCCATGCTTCTTTTTTGCGTTTTACAGATATTTGCATTACAAATGAGATTCCTTAATTACAGGTTGCATTCTAAATAAAACATCATTACAGATATTAAACTGTAGAGAAGCAGTGGCTGGCATACTGGGACAAGACCTTAAGGACAGATTCTGATACAGCCAGACTGTGAGTGACAGACTCACACCAAGCCACTGCTTCTTCCACAGTAGGGCTTGGTGTAGTTAGTGCTTAAGTAGTTCTCTCCATTTATACAACCAGCAGAGATACATTTTTTCTGCTAGCCCACAGTGCAGAGAAGCACAGGTGAATGAGCACCTTTTACCCATATACAATGCCTAGCATAATAAAGCCCAATTGTGTTTTGGAGCTGCTAGTCTCAGAGAAGAAAGGAAAAATAATAGGTATTAAGATAAATCAAAAAGCAATTCCTACTTTATACATAGTTGAACTCACAGAAAATACAGCCTTTTATACAACGTATATGCTTAGGAATCCTAGTGGAATTGCATGGCTGCATCTTATCAGAGTAAAGGTCCATCTAGTCCAGCATCCCATCTCCAGCTGCGAGCCTGGCGGGGAGGGTAAAAGCAGGGTGAGCGTACAGCGATGCTTTGTCAGAACACTCCTCTAGTCCTGAACTTGTGGTTCAAGGACCTTCTGCACTGAAGCTTAACACCTCCCGATTGATTTTCTTTCCATGAAGAGTCACTTTTGAGCATATGTATATTTTTAGCAACATTACCTCCTGCTCAAAGCTTCATTACATTGTGGGTGAAATACGCATCTTTGTTTCAAATCTGCTACCTGCTATTTCCACTTCATGCCCCCTACTTCTTGTACAGGGAGGAATGACAAACAGTGGTTCCTTGCTCACCTTACAAGACGCTCTGCTGCTGAAGATTACCCTGCAACAGATCACGGGAATGTACTGTATTTTAATAGGACACCTGTGACACTGTGTGTGCTACAGCAGAGAGAGTGGGACAAAGAGTGGTTTTCATGATAATCTTATTCTTAGGGTCTTGTAACTTCAAAGCTGAAACTTGCTTTTTGTATTCTACAATAAAAAGGACATAGTCGAGTTTAGAGGGGAGCTTACATCAAGGGTAATTAATAAGAAACAATGTCTTCTCCTAAGTGACTACTCTTAAGCTGTGTGAAGCTAGATTTTTTTCTATGTCTCATTTTTTTTTGTTAGAAGGCTGTAAACTTTGTGGTGTCTCTTGGCAAGTTAGGACTTATGTATTTTTGTATGTCTAGCTCATTCTTTTCCAGTATCTCTCTCTTTTTTCTTCTTTTATTTTTTATAAATGGAAGAATGAGTTACATTTCTTTTTCAGACACAAGCCATATCATATACCATATTGCGTTCTACTTGTCTTGAATAAGAAACAGGCTTGAACAGTTAGTCATTTCCAGTGTCTGTCAACTAGATACAAGCTCAGTAAAATGAGCCATTTTAAACTTTCAGGACTGCCATTTTCAGCACAAGAACTTGCATTCAGCATGCGCTACTCCCCAGCAACTTGCTGTTGGGAATAAATCTGTTTATTAAGGATTTACAGAACTCTGGAAAATACAGCAACAAGACTGTGACCTTATTTATACTCTTCGAACCAACACAACATACTGTGAATTTAGTATAATTTTAACCTGCACTCTTACCATGTGATGAGGGTGCGTTTTGTTCCACTGTCTTTTTTTTTTAAATTAATGTGTTACTCTCCCTTTCCTGTCCTAACCTCTATACTCTTTCTATTGTGTCTTGATGTCTCTGATCATCTTTTATCACATTCAGTTCACTTGATTGTCTAAAAGCTTCTCACTGTGGCAGCAGGTTTTCTTTCTCTAAGTGTTTTTGCTCTCACTGCTTGCTCCCTCCCTGCCCTCCCAGCTTCAGTGTCTCTCAGTTAAAGTTTGTCTCCAGTTTCTCAGCGTTCTCCACTCCTTTCAGACAACAGTAGGATGGTCAACTAAGTACATGGGAAGCCATTCCTTGGGCTAAAATGTATCTACCCAATCTCATTGCTATAGTTAAAACACTGGGAATGGCATCTCCTGTGGTCATTTTATCCACAGACTAAATGGAAATGCTACAAGCCTCAATGATGCTATTGATTGCCAGTTACCTCTTAACTGCTAATGTGTACATGATACTGGCTTTGCTTTATTGATTTTTATATCACATTGTATATTTTAGAAATACTTCTTTCTCCCCTGAAGATATGATAAAATGTTACAGGTTGCTTTTAATTCCCTTTCATACTACGTACCCAAAACGGACAGTTGGTCTAGAAATCTCCAGAGACTGTACTATACACAAAGGATTCATATACATCTGTGTATAAACATCTCAGTTAAGTTTTTTACATTGGAGTTACATGTGCTAAGGCATATACACACATAAGAACATCTGTATGTAAACATCCTTGATTTCAACATTTTTGAAGGATCTTCTTTGAAAGGTTCTCACCGCAAATTTTATGCACATACAGATAAATGCTGCTGGTTAGGGGCAGTGCAGGAAAAATCTGCAGTCTCACAGCCTCTGTGTACCTTGAAGTATTAACTCATTCTATAGCTTGCAGCACAGTAAAAACTCATAGACCTAAATCCAGCAGTCTTGATATTTTCATTTCTTTTTTCATTAGTTGTGCATTAGTATCTAACAGACAAAACTGACATCTCTGTATGCTGAACAAACACATAGCAAGAAACAAGCCCTTCCCTTGGCAAATTTTAGGTCTAAGGGTGAGACTTGCAAAATTGTATATTGGAATTAAAAACCTAAATCCTTATTTTCAGTTTGTGATGCTACCTTTGCTGAGGATTTTTAAAAGGCAAAGTAGACAAAAAAAAGCACAACAAAACCCAAGGGAAAAGCAGTTTTACAGGCGAGGAACTGAGGCACAGAGACATTACATGATTTGCCCAGCATCACTTCTGGAACCGGAGCACTGATCTCAATTCTCCTGAGGCCCTCTGCACCGCACTACCCGCTCTCCAAGTCCTCACATAGCCTGTGCCTTGTATAAACCACCCTTTAAATTTAAAGCCCTGGACATCCCACTTACATTTTCACTGTTAACGTCTGCCTCACTGGGGCAGCCAAAGAGTTCCCGTCTCAGCAAATTACCATCATATTCCAGGAATGTCAGGTAGAGGTTGCGGAAAAACTCCACGTGCTTGTTTTTCACTCGCAGCTTCTTTGGTGAGTTCCAGTGAATCACCTCAGAGGGGGAAAAAAAAAGAGAAAACACATCCTGCTGTCAGAATACAGATCTGCTTTATCTGTTCTTTTTATGTGTGTTCAGTTTGCTGCCCTCTTCAAAACAAAAAAAAACGACCCCAAAACTACACAGACTTCCTTCTCTCTTTTCATCAGGAAAGCTTTGCCACCTCTTTCACAAGTAACCGCATACTCTACAGGTGACGCGCTTTGAAACTCCTCCACTGGATTACCTGCATATTTGAGTTACGGTGCTGCTCTAGTTTCTGATGTAGCACCTTATAAATGCTGCCACAACTCTAATTATGGACCTGATAGATTATGGACTTTGTTGAAGAAGGTGGAAGGATGAGGGACACACAGATGTAGGTATTAAACATTAATCTCAGATTTCCACATGACTGTTTCAGCTAATGAAACGGATTCACTGCTTCAGGCCAGGCAGACTCCTCTCTGGCTCAATACTGAGAAGAAAAAGCTTGAAATTAATTCCTATACCTGTTTACACCCTTCAAAAAAGGAATGAACATAATCCGACTTCCTTTTTGCCACTGCTTCATTTAAACAAGACTGATCTGGGGAACAAGTAAGACTCCATTTAAACAAGACTGCCTTATACAATATAGCGATGTAGTGCAATGCTTCACTCTTTGAATTCCAGTTTCTATCAGGTATTTAGCCTCTGCTAATTGGAGATAACTCTCATGCTGGCTCAGATTTAACTGTAATGCTGACCAGATTCTCATCTACATCATGGCAACTTTGCACCGCTGCAAGTATGAATGAGAATGGGGCCCCAAAGAAAAACTAAGAGGGAGCCAAAAGTGGCTTGCAGGAATGATTTCATTTATAGAGGCTATCTTTTAGGCAGAAGGAAAAAAACACATGAAATGCTTTGTATCAGTTTTATTATTTTGTAAAGAGATTTTTAAAAAAATAACTCCCTTGGAAATATTTCCAGGCTAGGATTTCTGGAGGTTCTCTGAATCCATTAAGTTAATTGCGTTAAGGCACTGTGTCACTCACACGCAGCCACAGAACTGCAGCGCCAGCTGCCAAACTGGTCGCTTTGCTCTGAACGTTGCATTTGTGGGAGGGAACGTGCGGAGCCCAAGTGCAGCACGTACAACAGATGGAGCTCAGAGCAGATGAGCATAGTTTGCTTGGTGTCACTGCTGAGGCTACTAGGATGTCAGAAAACTATACATACAGTTACAGAAAAGCAATTGCAGGTAAAAAAGATCATTTCAGAAATTGGCAAATTACTTTTCCCACTTACAGGAACACTTTAAATCAAGATCATGATGCGTTTACACACTGTATAAATCCGTGAAATTATTTGGACAAAAGTACTTGCTATAGATACTTTTACCAGGTGATGCTACATCCTTTGCTGGTCTTACATTTCTATTTATATTCAGAAGTGTAGCTTAATTGTGCAATAACATGTTGCTGTAATGTCTGCTGAAAACAGAGACCACCACAGAAACAAAAAGCAGCATTAGGTAGGCCAGGACATAAACTTAAGAAAACACATTTCTTCCACTGAAAAATGGTTCTTTAAAATTCCCTTTCTTTGAAAAGAACTTGACATATTTCATCCATTGCATATAACTGCAGCAAAATGTATTAAAAGCATGCAAAAAAAAAATCTTAACAACTGAATTCTACCTCAGGGAAACAGGCACATTAAGGAAACTAGTACTAGTGCGCATTTTTACAAGCAGGCATAGAATGGAAACTGTCTGCTGGTGACTTACATTTAAAATTTAAGAGTGGATCAAAGAAAGCTGAGAAGCTGGCAAATGGGACAAAGAAATAAGTGCTAAGAAAAATCTTCTGTGTGTTTTCTCTGTACTGCCCCTACACTTCACATGAGTTTCCTTTTGGATGTCTTCACAACCATCCAACCTCCCTACTGAGCGCTCTGACCTGGGGTCCCTGGGGACCATGAGCACACAAATGGCTAATGATGATAAACTCATCAACCGTTGCAGGACAGGCTCTCTCCAGTGCTGCAGGAATTTCCCATTAACATACACTATGTCACAGCACAGCCAAGTACTGGTGTTGATGCCTCTACCTAGTTGTGGGCGGGCTGGTGTCAAAGCCAGCTGTCAGCACAGAGGCTCTTTGCTGCCATGCTTCAAAATCTGTTGTGCATGTAAAAGCTGCTAAGTGTCAAGGGCCTAGCTGGTGGTTCAGATGTGATCACAGTTGAAATGTGTCAGGATGTTGCATGCATACACATGTCAGGGGAGCCTGGAGTGAATTGAAGAAAGCTGAATGGAGCTGATGACTATCCAGAAAAGGTGATTTTTTAATGAAGAAAGACAGCACACACCAACACGGCTAAAGAACGCCAAGGAACTATGCAACCATCTGGATGACCTGTGGTAAGCAAGCCACAAAACAGGTCCAGCCAAAAAGGAGGCTGCTCCTCAGATGTAATATGATTAGATAAATACTACGCGATACATGAAAGAATAAAAAAAAGAACAGCAGGTTTCAAAAAACAACAAGACTCCTAACCACTGACACACAACACTACACCCAAATGCCATGTCCTTTTTTCGCTGCCAAAAAATTGACAAATTGACCTTAGGTTGTGACTGTAGCTGCCTGATTCGGTCTATTGAATCATCAGCTGCAGCAGGAGTTGAACAGGCCAAGATATCCTTGAGTAGCCTGTCAGGGGCATCAGTCAGGTACACACTGAAGACCATGGACTGCACAGGTAAAGCTGTGGCCATTACATTAGAAACTATACTGTGAGCAACATGGAACTGATTAGAGAAAAAAAAAAAGAAAATTCAGTTGGAAAGAGACTACAAGGAAATCAGAAGAAAAAAAATCAAATGAAACTTAAGAGTCCACTTTATTTGCAGACTGAGTAAGTGTTATGTCAACATTAAAAAGAGAAAGTGAATTTAGAAATTAACTACATCATTCCCTTTCCAAGAGTGAATAGCACCTCAATACTGTGCTTATTTCTTGTTCTGTTTTCCCTCCTAGTTTCTAAGCTATTCCAAAGCTCTGTTGGCTTACAGAGGAAGCTGAAGCTAGAACATACAAAATTCCAGGGCCATTATCAGGAACACTGCTAACCTTCAAGTTGTCCTATGGATCCTTTCCACAGCTGATCAAGGCCTCCTGAGAACTAAGAAAAATACTCTCCTTAATCTTCATTTAGCAATTTAAGTACTGAAAGATCAGAACTTAAAACTCCACATCTATTTAACACTTGATTAGTTGTCATTAAGCTACTTGGCACTATCTAAATTTCTGTTAATACCAACCTAGTTAATTGGCAACCGTTACCACTCACTGATTACACCCAGCCAGCCTCCTAGAACACTTCCATACACTTGTGACCTAGTGAAACGGGGTAACTCTGCCAATAGTTCCCATTTATTCTGACTCAAAGCACTCACACGATGGCATAGTTGGAGCCTTGCAAGCTGGCAAAGAAATCTGAGATGGAAGGTAACAGGATGTTACGTGCTGGTGGAGTGTAGAAGAGAGCTCTAAGGTGAGTTATCTGCATGGAAATACACTGAAATAAAAAAAATCTCAGCAAACCTCCTTAAGTTACCAGCTGCATTGTTCTCTCTGGGGAGATTAAATATCTCAGATCTGATGTTCAAATCACTAAACCATAAGCTTCAATGCAGCATTATTTCTATAGGTACCTTCATCCATTTTTCCCCTGAAGCATCTCCTCCTCCCAAGAGAAGTATTTGGCCAAACATTTCCTTAACCACAATCTCTTGCATATTTTACCCAAAGACACTTCTTGATAATTTCTCACTCTGCTTCAGCCCCTACAAAATCAAAAGAACACAGGATATCCTGTATAGATATATATTTACTTTCCAGGCTGAAGAGGTAAAAAGTAAGAATAAATTAATCTTAAATTTAAGCCTAAAGAAGTTTAATTTTGCACTGAAGAGATATTCTTAATTAAGCCCATGAGCACTTCACAATTTAAGTAAATACTTAAAAGTAGTATTTTGTGGAAGTGGAGCTTTCCTGCTTAAAAACTAGACTCCTTGTTTAGGCAAGCAGACAGTTCCCACTAAAATCGACAGGAGTTAAACATTCAGCAAATCTGCAAAGTAAAGCCACCTATATATGCCACTTTAAGGCTATTTCAAAAGGCTTTTTTTCAGGCATATGTCACTGTAAAGTTTAAATATGCCCCAAGTCACACTGCAAACAAGCCCCACATGTGTAACAATTACATTGATTACAGATGTCTGGAAATTTCATTTTAAACTGTGTTTTATCAGAAATGAATGGTTTAATAAAAGAACTGATTTCCTCAGAAAGCAGCAAATACTTCATAAAAATGTAAGCAGGGATGTTTCATAGCAATATGTCTGAACTACATAAATGGAAGAGACTCACGTCGGAGTAGCCAGCAATTTTAAGGTACAGGCACCACTTTTGGATGTAAAATTCAAATCCCTGTCCTGCCTGATTTGGTGCCCATGGTCCCAGGGTTTACGTTACTCCCCAGATTACTGCCTGTGCTGTACGGCAATAAGCTGATAGACTGCCCCTGTCTTGTACTGCTCAAGGCTCTCATTTTTTTTCTGAAAAGAATTTGCAGCTCTCCCTTCAACTCCTGTACCAATGTTTAACGAGAGACCTCTTGCCTGCAAAAACACCCCTAAAAACTCCTCTATAATACCACAGTGCTCCTTTTTTGGGAGAAGAGGAGCACCTCACTGACTCTGATGTTCATTCAAGGGAGGGGTATGTTTAACGCTCTTGAGTCCTTACTCCTCTCAGTGTAGCTCTTCCTCAGTTGGCATTAAAAGGTGTGAGGTGGCAGCGTGCCAGAACTGTTTCAGATCAGTGCCGAGGGGCTTGGATGGCACAGGGTGGCTCAGGGACTGGGACAGAAAGAGGTGCAACAGGCTATGTTTGAGGCAGACCCGAAATGATGCATTTGAGTTATGGATAAGAAGCTATTTCCATTTTTGTAAGCAAGCTCACAAAGTCGTCCTGGTGTGGTGGACAGTCTCAGGGAGGACACGGTGAATAACATAACACAAATTCAAAATGGAGAATTTATGAGGTTATTTATCCACCTGCTAATTTAGTATAAGCTGCGCTCAAAACCAGCTTGAAAAGCCATCAACAGGTTTTAAAGCATTTTCCTATTTTGGGGGGTGGGGGGTAATTACAGTGATTTGATACATTCCCATCAAAGAGTCCATTATCTGATTTTTGTGATTGTGAATTACCAGATTTTCTGCTTGTAAATAGCAACTGTATCCTTGACAACCAGACTTCTCTTCATGACAGACTCGTTCAATGAGGTCATGATTCCTTGTTACAGGCATTGCAACTGATTACCTTCTTTCACACGATTTTTCTTGCCATTTGGTTTCTGTCAAATCATAGTAATGGAGATTTTCTTGCAGACAGGACCAAACTATTAAGCAAAAAGGAAAGCAAACACAGGGCCCAGCACTGCAAAATTAATGCATAAACGAACCTCAGCTCCAGGCAGATCCCCACAGGCTTTGAAGCCCAGCAGGGCACGGTTCTACAGCCCACGCGT